CAGAGTGAGACTCCAACTCAAAAAAAAAAAAAAAAATAAAATAAAATCATCATGCTAGGCTGGGCATGGTGGCTAACGTCTGTAATCCTAGCACTTTGGGAGGTGGAGGCAAGAGGATTGCCTGAGTTCAGGGGTTCAAGACCAGACTGGACAACTTGGCGAGACTGCGTCTCTAAAATAAATCAAAAAATTAGCCGGGCATGGTGGTGCCTGTAGTTCCAGCTACTTGGAAGGTTGAGGCAGAAGGATCACCTGAGCCCAGCAGGTTGAGGCTGCGGTGGCCGTGAGCAGCATGCCACTGCACTCGTCTGGGTGACAGAATGGGACTCCGACTCAAAAAATAAATAAAAAAATTAAAAACCATCATGCTGGCTGGATGCAGTGGCTCACACCTGTAAACCTAGCTCTTTGGGAGGCTAAGGTGAGAGAACTGCCTGAGCCCAGGGGTTTGAGACCAGCCTGAGCAACATGGCAAGCCCTCATCTCTACAATAAATCAAGAAATCAGCCAGGCGTTGTGGTACATGCCTGTGGTTCCAGTTTCTTGGAAGGCTGAAGCAGAAGGAGTGCCTGAGCCCAGCAGGTCAAGGCTGCGGAAGCCACTGAGCATGCTACTGCACTCCAGCCTGGACGACAGAGTGAGACTCCACCCAAAAAAAAAAAAATCACCGCGCTGGACATCTGTGCTTGGAAAATGAAACACTGCACCTGCCAGTTGTTACCCACAAGCTGAAGATGGACCGGAAAAGGCGACACCAGTACCAGCCCATCCTCGCAGGAGGGTCTCCAGTGTCCCGTGCCCTAGCCAAGAAGAACTGGTGCCCGGCTCCAATGAGCTCCCTGTGGCTCCCCCAAGGCCACCTAACCAGACGCCAGGAAGCAGGGTGGGGCCCACACAGTCTGCTCTGCTCACCCTCCCATCGCCACCTGGCCCTGAGCTGGAGGGTGAAATGACCCGTCCTGCCCCGGTCTTGGTGTGCAGGTCCCAAGAAAACCGGTTTTAGGAGCTTTGCCCCATGAGGTGACGCTTCCACAAGTCCCCATGCACCCCACGCGTGGCCTAGTCATGGAAGCCCAATTGACAGCCTTAGACTCGCTCAGCCAGGGCACCTCAGGCTGAAAAGCAGGCATGGGGCCGCCAAGCCACACTGTCCTCCGCCCAGCTCTGCTCAGCACAAACAGGACACTCACACCGAGCCCCTGGTAGTATGGCCGGCCGGCACCTCCAGGCATGCTGGGCCCCTGCCTGAGGCTCTGCGGGTGAAACGCATGGCTCCTCCAGCGCTCTCACCATCCAGACCCGGTGCGGCCTCCGCCCTGGGCCAGAGCCTGGGGAGATGCATGTCATTCCCCATCTCCCAGGTCTCCAGAGAGGCACAGCCTGGACCAGGCACCACAGGTGGAAAGGTACCTGTGGCGCCTGAAGTGCTGGGTCCCAGTGCATCCAGGGGTCCAACTGGGTGTCCAGACATGGGTCCCTTGGGGCAGTGGAAACCCCTGCCAGTGGCGCTGGCTCACAAGCGACATGGCCCCCACACCCTCAGCTCTGCTCTCATGACCACCGGAGCTGTACCCGGTGCCTTGCGTGTGGCCTGACTGGCAGGTGGGCCTGGCTGCGTGCGGGCCTGGGTTCCCCCAGTGGTCCTCCCAGCGCCCTGCTTGAGTGACGACACCGAGGAAGCTAGGGCAGGCAACGGAGGGACCAGCACACCCCAAGGACGGACCAGAGCCTCGGCGGACACAGGACCCTGCCTGTCCAGAGGCCAGACTGGTGCTCCGCCGCAGAGCCCTCAGCCCAGCAGGACAACATGGCCAACTCCAAGTGAGCCCTCCCGAGCGGCACCCCAGGAGGACGCTCTCCTGGCTGCCGGTGTCCTCTCACACGCTCCAGGTTGGTCCACAGGGGATACCATCCGAAATGCCAGGTCTTTAAAAACATGTGGACTCACTCCATCCGGAAAGGCGGGAAGTAA